GTCATTGGAGGAGGTCTATGTTCAGCAGTGGGCGTCCTGTGGCTGATATGATGATGATGATGATGATGTTGCCAATCCTGCGCAGTACTGGAAAACTATTTTTATTCTCCTTTCACTTTGTTAGTTCTAATTTTTTTTAGTATTATTATAATTTATTTATTTTTATTTTTTTAAATGGAAATCACAATATAGATGTTCTATTCTTGATAATGCAGGTCAGAGTGTAGCCAGATTCATAACCTGGTTGAACAGTGCGACTGGAGCAGTTCCCAGCATGTACCACCTGGTTGGACACAGTCTGGGTGGCCACCAAGTTGGAATCGTTGGCAGGAACGTCGGTGGACAGATCGCTTATATCACTGGTAAGTTAAAAACTTTAAAGCCCAGGGTCCCAGTACAGGAAAATACCTTTCCTATACTGGGATCCTGGGCTTTTTTATACCACGATGGCAATAAAAATCACACACTGCCCACCTGATTGTAAGCGGTTACCGTAGTCTATGTATGCTTGCAACACTTTTTTCTGATGGGGGAAAATCATCCAATGATTCTCCCGCCCGGGTGAGGCAAGAGGGAGTGTCAGACTCTTAGTCACTAAAAGCCACCTCGTTCCTACTCCTGCACTTCGAGCCGGAGCTCCGGCAACCCGTTAAGTCTTCCGCGGCTCCGTATCGGCATCAGCCCTGTTGGGCGCCATCTGTGGTGGTGATGGCTCATTGAGGTGCGCGCGTAACGCGACGCGCCGTACGCTTGGGCCTGGAGGCTTGCAACACTTGGGACATTATATTCACCATGCCGGTCTTTGTGAAGCACTTAGAAGTAATTATGGTGGTGAACTGTTGACCATATTCTTTTTGTGAATTATGAAAGAACAATGGCGTTACTATGCCCTTCGAGGCTCGTGGAATAGTAGAATCGGGAGGCGTGCCAATAGGCCGATCAACGATGCGCTTGTGGAGGCTCGTCTTCAAAGCCTCGAACAGGGGTAAGGTAAGCCTTTCGGTCTTCTACCGGTTACGTTTCGGTGAGTGTGCAGGGAAATTGCACAATTTGATTCCCCTTAGTCCTTTTTGTATTTTTTCCTTTGTCCTTAGTCAGTAGTGTCTAAATAATCTTAGAAAGTACATATAACTCGGAAAAAGTCGCATTGGTACTTGCCTTTGGTAGGCTTCGAAACCGCACCCTCGTGCATGAGAAACGGGCTTCTTAAACCTCCAGGCCACCACGACATAATAATCTTGATGACCACACTCTTATTCAAGTACCCTTCACCCGTATTACAATTTTTTAACCCACAATTCTTACCCATTCCAGGTCTAGACCCCGCGTTCCCAGCATGGAACACCAATGATAACCGCTTCAGACCCAGCGATGGAGTCTACACTGAAGTCATCCACACCAACGTCGGGTTCCTCGGCTACATGGCCACACTGGCTGATGTGGACTTCTACCCCAATGGCGGCAGTGGCATGCCAGGGTGTGACAGTAATGATTGCGATCATGCCAGGTAAGGATGGAATGGGCGGCGCTGATTGCTTACCATCAGGTGATCCGTCTGCTCGTTTACCGGCTAACCAATAATAAAAAAATGCTTTGATTTTGACCTTTATCTTATTTACTTACATGTTATGATTATCAATTTGCAGATGCTACCACTACATGGCGGAGTCTCTAACTCGGGGTGGGTTCACTGGACGCCGCTGTCTCTCCTACCTGACTGCTATCACCGGCAACTGTAACCTCCTTGGCAGTCTCCGGATGGGTGGACTTGTACCAAAGACCGGGTGAGTTGGACTAGATTATTCTCGACTTTTTAATAGTAGATTGGAGTTGTTACTGAGTATCATTTTGATAGAAGAAAGATAGAAGGAAGGAAGAAAGAGAAGAAGAAGTGTGGGAGAGCCATGCTTCGGCACGAATGGGCCGGCTTGACCGGAGTGATACCACGGCCGAGCAGAAAACCGACGTGAAGCAACGCTTGCGTTATGTTTCGTCGTGTGAGTGAGGTTATCGGAGGCCCAATTACCTTCCCCTTCCCCAATCTCCCCAATCCCTGAATCCCCAACGATCCTCAAACCGGTCACCGGCTTTTTGGGGATTAGGAAATCCCCAAAAAGCCGGTGACGCACTTGTAACGCCTCTGGTGTTCCAGGTGTCCATGGGCGACGCCGATTGCTTACCATCAGGTGATCCGTCTGCTCGTTTACCGGCTTATACCATAAAAAAGGAAGTAAAGAATTCACTAGTGGTAAATCAGAAGATTTTCACGATTCCTGGATTAGGAAAAATATGATGAAGTGGTTTGATCACCAAAATTTTAAATTATTGCAAACTTAATTTGATATTTAAGTAACCAAAACTACAGGAGGGACATTTAGATTTTTTTAACGTTGCCCACACTAAGATTTTCTCCAATGTCGTGGGTGCGTTTACAAACATACAAGTTCACATATACATGACACCCAGACCCGGAACAACAATCTGTGGATCACACAAAGAGTTGTTCTGTGCGGGAGTCTAACACTCTATACGTTGCCCGGCAGCCGGTTGCCCAGCCACCGCACCAATTGTGCAGTCAATGTCAATCACCTAACTGTGATCTCCAAGTCGCTCGTCAAATATGGGGATTATTATCAAACCGTCCCTTTTAAACGTTTTTGTTTGACTTCAACTTATGGTTCATGATGATGATTTTTTATTAAATATTTTTCTTCCAACAGACAATCTGGAGTCTTCTACTTGGAGACCAATTCATCACCACCTTTCTCAAGAGGTTGAAAGCAGACAGAAGATTACTTGCCTAATGTTCAGGGACAATAAAGATTTTTTTAATATCTACTACTTTATTTGATTTAGTTGATCTTTACGCGACTTTACGCGCCGGGCAAGGGGTCTCGGGTTCGATTCCCGGTTACATGGGACTCATAACATAAATAGTGAAGTTTCATTATTTATATTATGAGTCCCATGTAGTTAATAGGGGGTGAGCCTATTGCCATATACCGGGCACAATTCCAGACTCCGTACTACTACTGAGATTTTTTAAAAAAACCCAATAATACTTTGCCCGACCTGGGAATCAAACCCAAGACCCCTTGCCCGGCAGTCGTCTTGGCAATCACTCAGCTAACGAGGCAGTCACAGACCAATTTATTACCCTCAAAGTGTCATCAGACCACCACGGATGGGGCCCCCAATAGGGTTGATGCCGATACGGAGCCGCGAAGAACTTAACGGGTTACCGGGGCTCCGGCTCGACGTGCAGGAGTAGGAACGGGGTGGTTTTTAGTTAGTAAGAGTCTGATTCGATGAGTATCCCCCCTTAAAAAAAGTAAGCTTCGCTACACCACTGTACATGGTCCAACTTTACCCTGTAACACAAACACGAGCGAAGCCACTGGTAGAAACTAATCTATATGTTGGAGAAAGCTGGGAGTTAATTGTTACTTGCATTGCATAACGCACATTAACTCGTCGAGTACCGGTTTTGTAGACACAATTATAGAACAATAGGTTGCGGTCACCGGTGACCGCTTGGTGTTTGACAGTTTAATTTTTTTTTGTTTTATATTCACTTTTTAAAATGCCTAAATTAATTTAACTCGTCGAGTACCGGTTTTGTAGACACAATTATAGAACAATAGGTTGCGGTCACCGGTGACCGCTTGGTGTTTCACAGTTTAAATTGATTTGTCACACTTAAAATTCTTAATTTGATTTATTAGAATTATTGATAATTCGAATTTGACTTCCTAAGTAACGACCAATCAGAGCAGAGCGCGCACCTCGAGCGGGGTCGAGGCGCCATCTTATAAAAAGGGAGATAGTTTCGGCGGGAGAGCATGAATTAGCTATCGGTCGAGGTGGATCGTTTATGTAATTTACTGTAAGATCGGTGCCCTGAACCCGCTGCTCAGTCCTAATTATTAACTTTTGTTTTGTTTTGTTTTGTTTTCGTTACTATCTAAATTAACTCGTCGAGTACCGGTTTTGCAGACACAATTATAAGAACTAATAACTATAAACTGTCAAGCACCAACTGTCAAACACCACTGTCGAACACCAAGCGGTCACCGGTGACCGCAACCTATTGTTCTATAATTGTGTCTATAATGACGGTACTCGACGAGTTAAACTGTCAAACACCGCGAGGACACCGGTGACCGCAACCTATTGTTCTATAATTGTGTCTATAATGACGGTACTCGACGAGTTAAAATAGTGTTTATTGTGATCGTTGTGTTTTGTGCTCGCATTTTACCCTCATGACGCCCACTAAGCCCGCAATCACTAATGATCGATCGGCGATGACAATGTTTCTCCGACACATATATATACCTCTATATAATAATGAATCTCTTTTTCCCTTGGTCACGGCGTCACGCGTCAATAGACGGACCGATTTCAATAATTCTTTTATTGTTGTATTAGTTATTATTAGGAGAAGGTTCTTATGACAGAAAAAATCCTGAAAATCCTACGGGAACAGGAAAAAGCGGGATGGCGTGTCGCGGGGAACAGCTAGTATACAAAAATAAGTCGGGTTTTCCTTCCTGACACTATAACTCCAGAACGCACGAACCGATTTCCGCGGTTTTGCATTCGTTGGGAAGGTCTCGGGCTCCGTTTTTTAATTTTAATCACCAAACGAAGTGTTACATAAAACGAAGCCATCTGGTGGCGAAACGGAGTTCGTCGGGTTTGCTAGTCCTTACTAATATTATAAATCGGAAAGTGAGTTTGTTTGTTTGTTCCGCTTTCACGCCGTAACTACTAAACCGATTGCTTTGAATTTTTGCAGACGTAAAGTTAGAAGTCCGGATTAAATAATAGGGTACTTTTTATCCCGGAAAAATTTGATATTTCCGAGGGAAAACAAAAGTATTGGTATAGATGGCGCTGTGTGTATTGGTATATGTCACATAGGCTACTTTTTATCCTTTTGTGACGCGAGCGAAGCCGCGGGTAAAAGCTAGTATTATATAAAAGAAACAAACAGATTATAATGAAATAACTTTATTTTATTTATATAATGTATATTCAGATATTATAACATGTCCAGGAATTTAACTAACATTTTCAAAATTTGTTTACTTTTTCTCAAAATTATGTAGATTCTCTTCTATCGATACGGATTTTATCTGAAAAGAAAAAAATATGATCAGTAAATGAATGTATGCAATTTATCTCCAAAGATCTCAAACAAGATCATCGAACAAGGGGTCTCGGGTTTGATCCCATGGTTGATTGGGTCAAACAAGTGAATTGAATTTATTTCTGCAAATAGGCTACAAGGCAGCACTTTATAAACAACAACATAACATCATGCCTTTTATCCCCAAAGTGGTAGCCAGAGGTGCACATTACGGCACTTGCTGCCACTGTACAATATAACACTCACTTTTCACTATTTATGTCATGAGTCTCATGTAATAGGAGTGAGCCTGTTGCCATATACCGGGCACAATTCCAGACTCCGTGCTACTACTGAGATTTTTTTTAAAAAACCAGTAATACTTTGCCCGACCCGAGAATCGGACTCGAGACCCCTTGCCCGGCAGTCGCACTTGCGAGCAATCGGCTAACGAGGCAGTATAATAAAGCATATAGATACATATATTTACCTTCTCGACTTATTTCATTCAGATGACGGCAGAAAGACCTGTGAATTAAAAAAAAAAGTTATAAATGGAACGGTCCCGAGAACCTTATGTTGTTATTTTCGTTTTCCGTCTCTTTGACCAAATATTGGTATTACATTGTTCTCACATTATTGAACTCAACGAAATAATGTAACCAAAAATTGTATTGTGAATATGATTGAAAAAGAGTAACCTATGGAGTTTCTTGCTCGTTCTTCTACATAGGAATCTACACTTTGGAACGAGCAAATAGCTTCACTAGAGGACTGACCTACAGACTGACATTTTATCTTATTATTTAAATATTTTGTTGTTGACGTTCAAAAGTGCCTTCGTGGTCTAATTGAAATAAATGATTATTTAAACGCTAAATAAAAAAATAATGTTTACAATATTAATCGTAAAAACGCGGGTTACTCACGTGAATATACTGAGAAAAGCTCTACTAGTTTCGAACCACAGAGGGGTTCTTCCTCATGAGCAGCGTGCGCGGTCGCGGCGACGTCGCGCAGCTCATGAGCTAGCTAGTAGAGCTTTTCTCAGTATATTCACGTGAGTAACCCGCGTTTTTACTTAATTTGGTATGTCTCACGATAGTTATTATAAAAAACATTAATCGTTTTTGTTTTCGTATTATTCAGCGACATCAGCTTTGAGCAGTTGACTGAATGCTGTTTATGAATATGAGCCTCTAATATGGCTTGAAACTAGTTCAGTTCCTCATCTCCCAGTTACGTGGGTGAGCCGAAACGATTCGAAACTAGAACTTTATCCCTACATAATATAAAACTAAGTCGCTATCCGCCGTGTGTCTGTCCCTATGTATGCTTAGATCTTTAAAACTACGCAACGGATTTTGACGCGATTTTCATATAGATAGAGTGATTCTTAAGGAAGGTTTATATGTATAATACATGAGTGTGGAACGTGTTATGTATGTATGTATGTATGTATGTATGTATGTATGTATGTATAGTTTATTGTGCTTAGTTTATTATCTTACGGGTCAACGACCGAGCTTTTCGAATAGGTACATAGGAATAGGTACATAGGAATAGGTACATATTGCAGGATGGCATAAAAAGCAATGAAAATAATAAATGAATAATTGAATTATTAAAAATAATTGATAAGTTTTTATAAAATATTTTCATAAAATAAATGATGTTTATCACATACTAATTGACCTACTAAAATATTGTGCACTATTTTTGTTACACATTATATAGAGGTATATTATAATGATGTTTCTTTATATTTATCACTAAATATGTAAGTGTATCTATTTTAATTGCTCAATTAATTCGTTGCTTGCTTCTTGCTCACACCATTGACTTCTCTGCATCACCCATAGGTCAGACTGGTAGAAAATGCCTGCGGCATTAAGTCCACCTTATGTACATTTTGTGCATGAAGCTTAAATAAATAAAAAAATATAGAATCACGATTATACGACATGGCCATGGACTACTGGATGTAAAAAGCATGGCTCATAGAAATCTCTATTCTCAGAAAGCACGTTTCGACGAAAACTTTATTGGTAGATGCATTGCACCCGGACGAAGCCGGGGCGGGTCGCTAGTTAATTAATATTCTAAAACCTTTTTCCAAGTGTAACATACACTTTTATGGAAACCGCATCACAATTGGTTTAGTCAATCGCTAGATAATCTCACACAAACATACATACAAGTCTAACAAAGAACCTACATTTTTTTCTTTATAAAGTCGGTTAAATAAGCTTACCACCAGTGCCGGATCCAGCAGCAGTCACTATGTCAGCTGTAAAAAATTAAAAAAATAAGCATTAGATATCACAATAGGGATGATGACAGGGTATGACAATTAAAAATCTAATTAGTACGTAAGTTAGGTAATGAAAAAATATCAGACACGTATTTTTTTATTTTGTCGTATAATAAAACAATACTTTGATAAAATGAGTGAAAGTTTAGGAGTGAGGGCTAAAACGTCATTACTACGTATAAAATGTACATAGAAGTGACGTCACGCGACATTTCAAATCAATACGCGAGGTTGAAATCGACCTGCATACAGCGACTCGCATACTTTGGTCATTGTTTAATATCGTAAGTTAGAAACAGTCTCGTTGGCCGAGTAGTCGCAAGTGTGGCTGCCGGGCAAGGGGTCTTGGGTTTGATTCCCGACTTGGGCAAAGTATTACTGAGTTTTTAAAATAATTCTCAGTAGTAACACGAAGTCTGGAAATGTGTCCGGTATATGGCAATAGGCTACCTATTAAATGGGACTTATAACATAAATAGTGAAATGTGGGTGTTACATTGTACAGTGGCATTAAGTGGCGTAATGTGCACCTCTTATCCTTACTAATATTATAAATCGGAAAGTGAGTTTGTTTGTTTGTTTGTTCCGCTTTCACGCCGTAACCACTGAACCGATTGCTTTGAAATTTTGCAGACGTAAAGTTAGAAGTCCGGATTAAATAATAGGGTACTTTTTATCCCGGAAAAATTTTATATTCTCGAGGAAATACGAAATTATTGGTATACATGGCGCTGTGTGTATTGGGATATATCACATAGGCTACTTTTTATCCTTTTGTGACGCGAGCGAAGCCGCGGGTAAAAGCTAGTTTAATATAAATGCGTGTCACAGGACACGGCATGCTTACAAGCCTTTTATATTATTTTAAAGCAAGAAACGCCGTACCCGAACCGTGCCTAAACCGTGCTTATAGGTCTTTTTTTTTAAGGGGGGAAAATCATCGAATGACTGCTCCCGCCTGGGTGAGGCGGAAGGGAGTGTCAGACTCTTACTGACTAAAACCCACCCCGTTCCTTCTCCTGCACGTCGAGCCGGAGTCCCGGTTACCCGTTAGGTTCTCCGCGACGTGCTTATAGGTCTACGATATGGTTACTGTAAGGTCAAAGTCAACGACGTAACGTAAGTGGACGAATTATGGTTAACTAGCTACTTCCGCGCGGTTTCACTCGCTCTGCTCGTCGCCTATTAATCGTAGCGTGATATTTTATAGCCTTTAGCCTTTCTTGATAAATGGGCTATCTAATACAGAAAGAATTTTTCAAATCGGACCAGTAGTTTCGAAGATTAGCGCGTTCAAACAAACAAACAAAAAAACAAACTCTTCAGCTTTATAATATTAGAAGTTTAGGTAAAGATTCGTCGACTAACATATATGAGACTCATAACAAAACTAGTGAAAAGTGATTGTTACATTATATCGTACCTCCGGTGCTATACCGTCACTTATGTATTGCGGGGGCCCGCGCGCAACTGAACAATGAAACGTTGTTTCTCCTAGTGCCGTCCAGATTAGCGCCAAAACCGTAACGACAGTAATGCCCTCACAATGTCAGTTTGTGTACTACACCAATGACAATAACGCACCAAGTAAAGAGGTGAATTTGGAGTATTCTTTCATCAGTTAAGTTTTGACAAAAATTGCATAAATGACGATATTGCATCGTAGGTGCGATATGTGTCTATACCTCTGTCTACCCCGTTACAGAATGACAGTTGATACTCACCAACGTTAGCTGCTCCGCTGGCTCCACCAGCGGCATTGAGGGCTGTACCAGCTGCGTTTTCAACTGTAAATATAACAAAAATGCATATATTAACAAGATGATCATCACTCATCTTATAACTTGCAACATTTTGTTTTCTCACTATTGTTTCTATCATCCCCTTTTTCACCTACTGCTGAACTAAGTGTGGGAGAGCCATGCTTCGGCACGAGTGGGCCGGGTCGACCGGAGTGGTACCACGGCCTCACAATGCTTGTAGTAGTGTGAGTGAGGTTACCAGAAGTTCAATTACCCCCTTCCCTCCCCAGTCTCCCCGAATCCCTACAACCCTTAAATTCCTAATTCCCAAAAGGCATATGGCTCACCGGAAAGTGGAAAAGTGGGTGTTACATTGTACAGTGGCATTAAGTGCCGTAATGTGCACCTCTGCCTACCCCTTCGGGATAAAAAGGCGTGATGTTATGTTATGTTATTAAATGTAACTTCAAACAATGAAGTTGTTTCTGTAATCTCTCCGATGCACCACCCACGACGCGTTTTATGTAAGATTATTTGCTGCTCCCGTTGCACGGGTGGTCGCGACCGCGGTCCCGGAGTCGCCGCGGGTTGCACCCACGCACTCTGTGATCGATTGGCAGGCGATTGCAATGGGAGGGCCGGTCAGGAACTAAACTGTTTAATCGCCCGTATTGCGATAACTCTCAACTCAATTGCCAAGTTCGGCTCCCGTTGCACCCGCGCGCTCTGTGATCGGTTTTCGGGCGATCGCAGTGGAAGGGCTAGTACGGAACTCAACTGATTGTTTTACTGCTCGTCTTGCGATAATCAACTGCCCAGTTTGTGGGCCATAATCTCAACTGCGGCGGGACTGCAGAAAACGTCAGTCTCGTGAGTTTTGAAAATAAATCTCAATTCCGTCACCGCGGCGGGCGTGGTAAATCGCGTCGTGAGTACGTAGCGTGTTGGTTGGACGTACTTAGTTCTTTTTCTATTATTATTAAATTCTTCACGTGATGAACAAAAATAGACAATACACTGCTTACATGGCCCTCATGAGATTGTCTTGAAATCCCCATGAACACATAAAACGTATAAAATACTAGCTACTTCCGCCCGGTTTCACACGCTCTGCTCAGCTCCTATTGGTTGTAGCGTGATGTTTTATGCCTATAGCCATCCTCGATAAATGCGCTATCCAACACAAAAAGAATTATTCAAATCAGACTTGTAGTTACGGAGATTAGCGCGTTCAAACAAACAAACAAAAAAACAAACTCTTCCGCTTTAAATAATAAAGTATAAGATAATATCCAATCTACATTGAATTTAGGGACAAAATCTACACAAAAGCGAGCAAAGCTGCGGGCATAAGCTTGTATATTGTAAAAGATTTTCCCTGTTTAAGATACACCATAAGTAATCAAAAATACGTTAAAAATATCGATATAATTCTTGATACCATCCATTCCTTAAGCTTTGAGGCACCCACTGCCCGGACATAGGCTGCTTCCAAACACCACAAAATGACCTCTCCATATCCACCAGACATAAGCCAACTTCTTTACTCCGTGGTGATCAAAATTGTATTTAATTCTCAAGACATTAGAGTGTATAACAGCGTTCTATAAGAATAACGCTTACTCTTCTCAAAATTCTTTTAAAAAACTTACTTTTAGCCAAGTCCGGGGTTCCAGTGAGCGCCTCAGTCTTCTTGTCACAATCTGGCGTCTTCTCGGATCCAGATAAGCCAGACACTGGTAAAGTGCTAATCGCGGGTAACGATCCCGATCCAGTCGCGCCAGATATAATATCAAGTGGGTTTAAAGACAACGATTTGCTATCAGAAATGGCACCAGACACACCTAGCCCTCCATTTTCGGTGCTGATCGTGCCAGATGTGCCTAAAGCTCCGGTTCCAGTACCGATTCCAGCTACAGAACCGGAACCGACAGCTGATCCACTGGCAGTTAAGCCTGACTTCGAGCCAGATACACCAAGTGCGCCGGATCCGGCTAAGGAACCAGTTAGACCGGTGCCAGCGCCATCGAGGGCTAACGCACCAGCTCCGGCTCCAGCACCAGATAAACCTGAGCCAGAACCGCTTCCGAGAGATAGTGCGCCAGCTCCACTACCAGCGCCAGTTACACCGGTAGTGCCAGATCCAGTGGCAGCAGCGGCGCCAGAGGCAGCTGAGGTACCGGATCCAGATCCTGCACTAGAGGCAGCTGCAGCACCAGCTCCTTTTCCAGCGCTAGTAGCAGCACCTGCACCAGACGCTGCTGCTCCACCAGAACCTGCACCACTTGCAGCTGCCGCACCGGATCCAGTTCCAGTACCAGTGGCTGCCGCCGCGCCAGAAGCGTTTCCTACAGTGCCAGTAGCAGCTGCTGCACCTGATCCAGATCCAGTGCCACCTGCAACAGCAGTACCAGCACCGGACCCAGTGCCAGAAGCTACTGCACTACCAGACTCAGATCCAACTGTCCCAGAATCAGTTACCGCGTTAGCACTTTTAGATTTTGAATTGCCATCGGTTTCGGTTAACGTTTTCGTTATAGATTTCGTTTCGGATGTGGATCCTAAAACAACAGCAGAGCTGAACTGAGCCTGCCTAGGTAAAATATAGATATAAGTCGAAAATCTATTACTATGTCTAAAAAACTAATAGAATGATCCTGAAATCTTGAGATCCTTGCTCTTTCTTTTCCATAGCAATCTACACTTTGGAACGAGCAAATAGAACAACTAGAAGACTGATCGATAACCTGACATTTTTTATTTTCGACAAGATTTCTTGTATGAGCGTACCATTGTCTAATTCACAGAGACATAGGCGTAGAAAGATAAACTTTTTTTATACCACGACGTGGGCAAGATAAGCACACGGCTAGACATCTAACATTTTACAATACCCACTTAGGTATCTACTAAAGAAACTTTGGTATCTCCAGGCGAGATAGTAGTCAAGCGGCCCATCAAATATGTAGAAAAAGTATAATATACCTAATTTATTTTAATTAATATCCAAGCAATGAATATTTACAAAGAAAATCGTGTCCACCCACAGCTAGACATAGACTTCTTCAAAGCTTTGTTAAAGTTAGTTAAAATTCTATTTATTCAAAATCCTATACGTGAGGACTTGTAATTGACTCATTGTTACCTACGCCTATTGTTAATTTTTGTAACCTGTAAGTCCTCCATGAATTATAAATAACTGATAAAAATAAATAAATATAAAAATTAAAATTATTTAAAATGGCCCTGAAACCCGCAACTAAAATTACTAGAGAAGGAGAAAACGATTAATTTCCACGTCACTCGTTATTTTTAACAATGACAAAATAATTATTACACTTTCGGCTTAATCACGAAACTTTTTCGACGAGGAACTCGATTCCGAGCATTTCCCGACCCGCGAGGCGGCGAAAGTCGCGCTGTTACTCGGGTCGCAGAATGCTGCTGCCTCTATCATGGCTTGAAACTAGTCGAGTTTCTCGTCAAACAGTTACCTACGTGAGTAAACATAATAATTAATTTTGCACGTATCACGATAGCTTACCAACTCCAGCAGCACCGCCGAGTCCTCCAGCAGCACCGCCGAGTCCTCCAGCTTCACCTCCGAGACCTCCAAGTCCGCCAGTTACTCCTGAAGCAGTATCAGACACACTGCCACCTCCAACACCCAGCTCACCACCGGAGGCACCACCAGTGACGGCATCAACTATAGCAAAAGAGAATTTAATTGTAATCGTAAATTTGATAAGGGTTTTTGAAGCCGATCGCAAGATACAACTTTAAAACAAAATAATCAATGTTAACATTAACACATAACATCACGCCTGTTGTCCCCGAAGGGGTAGGCAGAGGTGCACATTACGGCACTTAATGCCACTGTACAATGTAGCACCCACTTTTCACTATTTATGTTATGAGTCCCGTGTAATAGGGGGTGAGCTTATTGCCATATACCAGGCATAATTCCAGACTCCGTGCTACTAGTAAGATTTAAAAAAACCCAGTAATACTTTGCCCGACCCGGAATCGGAAATCCGACAATTTGGTAGGTAATCAAAAATACTTACGGGGCAGGGAGAGAGCTCCGCAAACCTGGAAGAAAAGAAAAAAATGTTTATAATCAAATTGTTAATGCGATAAACGAAATAGGTGCCTATGACAGAATCAAATCTTTTAAAGTTTAACTCAAATGGGAGGTAAGTGTTACGAGTAATAAATTATAATGGCAATAATCGAACTACGTGATTGACCTGAAGCTGTATGATAGGTACTTCGAGCAAACGGATCATCTAATGGTAAGCAGTCACCATCACTCATGGACACCCACATCATTAGAGAAGATACAAATGTATTATCAGCCTTATGCTCAGCGACACAGGTGGAATCATTAATTTTCATCATAGTAGGTGGTACTACAAAACAATCAACGAAGCGTCACCGATTCATGGTAGATGTCCTCAACTCTCGGGAAGCGCTTCGCATCAAGCTTTCTTGTTCGTACTACTAAGGAGTGGAATTCTTTGCCAGAGTCTATGTTTCCTGAAGGGTATAACCTGGGTGTCTTCAAGGCCCAAGTGAATAGGTTGCTTATGGGTGGACGTACTCCAACGTAGACCACATCATCGCTTACCACTAGGCGAGAAGGTGATCAATTTAAAAAAAAAGAATTGAGCCTGTGTGAGTGGACACAGCAGCACCATGACTATCAGTAAGTTAAGCATAAATTCACTTTGACAATAAAAAAGGGTTGACCAAAAAATGGTTTTTCAATGAAATCATTGGATAACGAACATTACATAACATAACATCACGTCTTTTATCCCTGAAGGGGTAGGCAGAGGTGCACATCACGGCACTTAACGCAACTTTACAACGTAACACCCACTTTTCACTATTTATTTTATGAGCCTCATGTAATAGGGGGTGAGCCTATTGCCATATACCGGGCATAATTCCAGACTTCATGCTGCTACTGAGATTTATTTATAAAAACTCTGTTATATTTTGCCCGAACAGGAATCGAACCCGATACCCTTTGCGCAGCAGTCGCACTTGCGACCACTCGGCTGGATAACGAATTTAAACAAATAATAAAGTCGCTTCTCACCGACCTATTTGGAAGTCATTGAGGACTATGTTCAGCGGTTGTCATATTTTGGCTGATATAAAGAGAGAAAAAAAAAATAAACACCGTTTATTACGCTTCGACACACATGTAGACAGTAACACAGGTACACACAAAAAGAAGACCATGGTGCATCGCAGCGCAAAAGGATGGAACTCAGCTTAATGCTGTCGCCCGGGCACGAAGGCTCGAGTCCACAGCGCTGACAGCACCAGCCAGTATGATATAGCTACATAATGGGACCAACATGATAACAATCTGGAGAAGCTTGTGGTTGTTGGTCGGATTAACGGGTGAACGGGCGCTGTCAACTGGGACTGGTCAGCTCCAGACTGTATTTTTTATTATCTTTAAGGTTATTTTCTTTTTCGATCACTTTGACTAGATTTTAGTGTTACATTGTTCTCGCACAATCCAAACAGCTAACTATGTAACTAGAGAATTGTATTGTGAACCTGATCGAAAAAGAGTAAATTTTGGAGTTTCTTGCTCGTTTTTCTCCATAGGAATCTACACCTTGGAATGAGCAAATAGCTTCACTTTTAATTTTATTGTTGACGTTCAAAAGTGTCTTTCTGGTCTAATTGAAATGAATGATTTTGACTTTGAAACGGGAAAAGACCTCGTGGTCGCTCACCTACCCGGTGGTTGGATGCTGTAAAAAACCTAACCGGCCTGACAGTTCTACAAGCCTTAAAGACCGCAGAGGATAGGGGCGTTTGGAAGAGGGTTGTGCATTAAATGGCGCGTGCACCAGACTAGACACGACCTTCAATAATGAAGAAAACGACTAGGAAGAAGCAAAAGAATGATAATAATGATGATAAAAGATCGTGTACATAACCTCACACTTGCCTCCCATGGGAGGCAGAAACTTGAAATATTATGTATGTGTGAAAAAATACTCACCAAGAATCCGAAAACGAACAGGAATTTCATGTTGATATAGTTTTAAGATCCGAATCGACCAGACAACTGACTTTGCTACAAAATGTACACCTATATATACAGGACCATTGCCTGCGTATCGGCTTAATATGGAACCTTTAAAACAAAAGGGTTTTGAATATTAGTTTAACATAACAATAGCTATTTTGTTTTAGCCGAAAACATATTTAATTATGCTTAGAAATGTCGGTTTGTATGTATGTCTGTGTTGAAAGTTAATAGGGTAGATGACTCATTTTTTATTTTAATGTTCCTTTGGTAGATTATTAAAAAACATTAGACACGTATTTTTTATTTTTTTACGGTAACGAATAGTTTCGAAGATATGTTGATTCGAAATGTCGCGTGACGTAACTTCTATGTACGTTTTATACGTAGAAATGACGTTTTAGCCCCCACTCCTGTCGCGGAGAACCTAACGGGTAACCGGGGCTCCGACTCGACGTGCAGGAGAAGGAACGGGGTGGTTTTTAGTCAGTCTGACACTCCCTCCCGCCTCACCCAGGCGGGAGCAGTCATTCGATGATTTTCCCCCTTAAAAAAAAAGCCCCCATTCCTAAACTTTGATTCGTTATATCTAAGTATCATTTTACTATACAACATAATAAAAAAATACGTATCTAATATTTATTCATTACCTAACTGACGGACTAATTAGATTTTTAATTTTCATACCCTGTCATCATCCCTATTACAGTATGGTGACGATAAAGTAGAATACATTTTGGTCAGTCTTGTCACGACCCGTAGTTCTCCGGCGGGTGTAGCATGTACATTTGTGTTAAAGGTAACCTAACCTGGGATTGTGTTATCGCAGAAGGAGGCTACAGACCGCGAGCGAGAGGAGGACGCCCTCGCTCCAGCGCTCCGACGACGTAGAGTTCGTAGGAGAAGACGGCAAGCAACCTCCCAAAACTGCTGCAACTCCTGTAAGCCAGGATCTACAGTAGATACAACCATGAAAACACCGGAACACTGAAGTACGGCGCGTCCCAGGGACATGAATAACTGTCTTGGTTCTGCAGTATACAACCGCCTTCTCCATCCTGAGAATGAGTAGTGGTTGCTAGGCGCGGGGGCATCTACATCCGACCGTTCCTGAGACCCATTCCCGAGACAGGAAGTGGCGTGATATATCCATCAATGACAGGCTTCGCCGAGGGGGTACTGGTCGTAAAGGTTCAACCGGTTTCCCAGACCCCTTAAAATGGCGATGCAGGGGTGCTCCTGGGTTTAGTGGGTATGCCGTGGAGCACGCCTACCACCTATGAGTAACCCATACACTCGGGACTTGAAGACTTGATTAGGGGACGATAATATTTTGTCTTGATAATACCAGACATAACAATAGAATTGTGCAATTTGATGCAGTTATTTAGGAGTTAAATACGCAACTAGGGGTAGACATTATTCCCGAGCGTAAGGCGCGTCGCGTTCCGCGCGCGCCTCAAGGAGCCATCAGACCACCACAGATGGGGCCTAACAGGGCTGATGCCGATACGGAGCCGCGGAAGACTTAACGGGTTGCCGGGGCTCCGGCTCGAAGTGCAGGAGTAGGAACGGGGTGGTTTTTAGTCAGTAAGAGTCTGACACTCCCTCCCGCCTCACCCAGGCGGGAGAAGTCATTGGATAATTTTCCCCCCTCAAAAAAAAAGGGGTAGACATTATTGATAATACCAGACACAATAATAGAACTATACAATTCGATGCAGTTATTTAGAAGTTAAATACGCGACTAGGACTACACATTACACAGAGATCGTGCAGCAGCGCTCTCTGATAAACCTGAACCTTGTATACTGCGACCTCCAACCCGCCTGCCTGCGGAGATTATGACAAACTCTCTTATGTAGAGGAGACTCATAGTGCAGCAGTGGACTGTCACTTACAAATTTATTGACATAGACAAATACACTCCTTGTGTCCCACGGTAATGACAGACACTACAGAGCGCCATCTACAACGCTCCTTTCCTAAATTTTATTTCTTTAGCTTACATCAAATTCATAATAGAAAATAATACCTAAGCAAATCCGAGGTAAAACATAAGTATAAATATTCCAAATATTAATTGTAACTAATCGGTTTTAATATAACCTTTAACGCTATTAGTTATAAAGCCTAAATTAGCATAACAACAAACATTTTCATAAAAGAATCTCCGTATAGTAACACAAAGTTATTAATGCAGTTGGCGGTGGCGCTAGTGTAGCTTAACCTTGAACTTTTAGTTCGTGATTAACATTAGTTCTAGATTTGGCCGTCTGTAAAGATAAGTTTGCAGGCTGTTTTCTTAAAGAATTTGGCATATATTTGTTCAGTTGTTATAAATTTCTAGAAATTACTCATTATTTAATTTTAAAACAGAGATTTCTGGCACAAAATCCTCAATAGTTGTGTTTAAAAATAATTTTGGGCAAAATATTGTGAATTAGGCTTTTCCGTTCCCGTATATCCCCATCCCCAGTGACAGCTCTCTACTAAATACATTATAGACCTTATTTTCAATGTTTAGAGACTACTTTTGTATGAACAAATTTAAGGGATGATTTTTAACGGCTTAAGTACCTAGGTATACATAATTTTTTCGATATTTTTGAAAACTCAAATTGAAATACATTGTACAGTGGCATTAAGTGCCGTAATGTGCACCTCTGCCTACCCCTTCGGGAACAAAAGGCGTGATGTTATGTTGTTGTTGATGTCAAATTGAAATTGTGTTTGGCATAATATGGTCATTGGAATAACCTTTAGAACTATATAAATAAAATGTATTGTATTCCACAAATCACAATATTTTAGACAAAATCTTATTTAGATATAAATAATTTCAAGGTAACCATAACATAACATCACGCCTTTTATTCCCGAAGGGGTAGGCAGAGGTGTACACATAAGTAACACCCACTTTTCACTATCTATGTTATGAGTCCCATGTAATAGGGGGTGAGCCTATTGCCATATATTTATATTTCTAGTCTCCGTGCTACTACCTACTGACATTTTTTTTAAAAACCTATTATTAGTTTGCTCTAATCGGGAATCGAACTCAAAACCCCTTACTCGGCAGTCGCACTTTCGACCACTCGGCCAACAGGGCAGTCTTTTTTATTTATACTTTTTGGTCATATACCTACAATGGCGGACTTCATGCCTAGACGCATTCTCTAACAATCAACCTTAGAGTTGTGGCGTCCCAGTATCAGTAGATATGCAAGCATAGTAATGCATGGGACCCACTTTTAGTATTGTGACTAAAATATGGACATTGTAAACGGTCGCATTTAAAAAAAAATCGTTGCTCCACACTAGGATTTTCTCCTGTGTCGTGGGTGCGTTTACAAACATACAAGTTCACATACACATGACACCCAGACCCGGAAGAACAATATGTAGATCACACAAAGAGTTGTTCCGTGCGGGAATCGTACCCGCGACACGTTGCGCGGCAGCCAGTTGCCCAGACACCGCGCCAACCGTGCAGTCGATGCCATTGACCGTAAGGTTTTAATTTTAACGTCATGACATTTTAGTCGGTTAACCTTTTTAAGGACAAGTTTGATTACAAGATTTGTCCCCGAATTGAAAACGAATTTTATTCAAAAGTCTGCCTCTTAATAGGGATGATGACAGGGTATGAAAATTAAAAATATAATTAGTCCGTCAGTTAAGTAATGAAAAAATAGTAGACACGTATTTTTTTATTTTGTAGTTTAACAAAATGATTCTTAGATAAAACGAATCAAAGTTTAGGAGTGGGGGCTAAAACGTCATTTCTACGTATAAAATGTACATAGAAGTGACGTCACGCGACATTTCTAATCAATATATCGCCGAAAGTATTCGTTTCTATATGAAAATAAAAAATACGTGTCTAATGTTTTAAAATAATCTACCAGACGGACATTAAAATAAAAATTAGTCATCTACACTATTACTGTGCGTACAATTCCAAAGGGTGATGCAGAGAGACACAATAGTAGGTATAAAAGTTTAACATTGTTGCGTTAAGTTCACATATATCTGTATTGTGCACACAGCTACACATCGAGCTTTACACAACCAGTATAAACTGAACGTTAAATGTGCGGAAAGATGATGCGACGCGACACCAGGATAAACTGGTTTTGTATAGATTGATGTGTGGCCGTGTGTACAAAGGCTGCGGGCTCGCAACCGCGGCAGGCATTAGGCCCGAAAGGACTGATGCCGATTCGGAGTCGCGGAGAACCTAACGGGTTACCGGGGCTCCGACTCGACGTGCAGGAGAAGGAACGGGGTGGTTTTTAGTCAGTAAGAGTCTGACACTCCCTCCCGCCTCACCCAGGCGGGAGCAGTCATTCGATGAATTTCCTCCCTTAAAAAAATACCGCGGCGGGCGTGGGAGAAAACGCTTCGTGAGTCTATAGCCTTAAACATACCACATTTACCTACGTCATAAAATAATTGGCGTAAGTATAATAGTTTGACAAAAATACGTCAATCAAAACACATGTGGCATGATTTTCTTAACTTACGTCAATTTTATAAGTATTTTACATAATAATGGAGGATTACTTTTATTTGTTAACTAACTAATTTATAATAAAACTAGCGACCCGCCCCGGCTTCGCACGGGTGCAATATATATATACATACAAACCTTCCTTAAAAATCACTCTATCTATTAAAAAAAACCGTATCAAAATCCGTTGCGTAGTTTTAAAGATCTAAGCATACATACGGACATACAGCGATAGCGACTTTGTTTTATACTATGTATTGATACCTTCACGCATAAGAAACCTGCACTCATTCAACGCATTCAAAACTCAGCTTTACAAATATTTACTTCTTAATCAAATACCCGAAAAATGAATGTGTTGGATAGGACTTGTTTATGGTCATGTTTTGTCCAGATGTTGTCGAGCCTAACCTTACCTATCTATGTTGTTATGTTCTCAAGTAAGTGGCATGTATGTTATTATTGAGAATAAAGATTCTTTAAACCTTAATTTCTGATTGCCTCGTTGGCCGAGTGCTCGCTAGTACGACTGTCTTGCAAGGAGTCTAGGGTTCGATTCCCGGGTCGGGCAAAGTATTACTGGAGTTTCTAAAAATTTCTCAGTAGTAGCACGGTGTCTGGAACTGTGCCCGGTATATGGCAATAGGTTCACTCCCTATTTACATGGGACTCATAACATAAATAGTGAAAAGTGGGTGTTACATTGTACAGTGGTATAATGTGCACCTCTGCCTACCCCTTCGGGGATAAAAGGCGTGATGGTACTGGGACTCTTAATATACATTATCGTGTCCATTTTTAGACATAAAACACATGATACACACGTCTTTATTATGTTTTATTAAAACAGATAAAAGAGAAATATTTTTCTTGTCTTCTCTTATCCGCGGGAGTATGGCGGCCATGAATTAGTTTGCAAATAATACACGCCGGAGTACCTGAAAGATTAAATTCAAAGTCAAAGTTAATGTCAAGATCAAAATCAATATCAAACACTAGACTAACACTTTTAATATTTTTTGTGTGTGCACATAAACAATTTTTCTTTCTTTCTTTCTTCTTTCTAGGCTTTCCAAAACCAACACAAAATCGTAGTTAAAGCAAATGTCAGAGTCAAAATCAAAGTCAGTAACAAAGTCAAAGCCTAACTCAAAGTCAAGTCAAAATCGAAGAAAAAGCCAAAACCAAATTCATAGTAAACGTTCTCGTTAAAATTAAACTCAACGAGCTAACGTCAAAGTCAAATTCAGAACGTCAACGTCAATTCAAATTCAAAGACATATTAATTAATTTCTTTTTTAATGTTATATAACGAAAATAGTACAACTTACGTACCCAGTCTTAGGTTCGATTCCTCCCATGAGTAAGGTGTCTTCTGAAGGACAGGTTCCATTGACTGCATGCTGGTAGCTCTCACATTTGCTGCCGGTGAATACTCCTCCACGAACAGACTCCGCGAAGTAGTGGAACACTCTAAAATAGTTAATATATATATAAATCAGAACTCAGTCATGTTGGCAGAACAGTCGCAAGTGCAACTGCCTTGCAAGGAGTCTCGGATTCGATTCGTGGGTCGGGCAAATAATTAATGCGTTTTTAAAAAAAATCTCAGTAGTAGCACGGCGTCTGGAATTGTGCTCGGTATATGGCAATAAGCTCACCGCCTATTACATGGGACTCATAACATAAATAGTGAAAAGTGAGTGTTACATTGTACAGTGGCATTAAGTGCCGTAATGTGGGCCTGTGCCTACCCCTTCGGGGGTAAAAGGCGTTTATAGCACAGAGCCTTGAATGGCGCAGTAACTCATAAAATAACTGCAGACAATGGGGTGCTATATTTACTCATAACATCACACCTTTTATCCTCAAAGGGTTAGGCAGAAGTGCTTATTACGGCACTCAATGTCACTGTACAACGTAACACCCACTTTTCACTATTTATGTTATGAGTCCCATGTAATAGGGGGTGAGCCTAATGCTATATACCGGACACAATTCCAGAGTCCGTGCTAATACTGAGATTTTTTTAAACTGTCAAACACCAAGCGATCACCGGTGACCGCAACCTATTGTTCTATAATTGTGTCTACAAAACCGGTACTCGACGAGTTAAATAACTAAGCTATACTTTGCGCGACCCAGGAATCGATGCCAAGACCCCTTGCCCGGCAGTCGCACTTGCGACCACTCGGCCAACGAGGCAATCTTAGCATAAAAAACTAAAGAAATATTTAAAAAAACCTCACCGATCATGACTACACAATCCAGTGAGACAGCCAGCCATCTTTACACCCCCATTGGGGTAGAAGTCCACATCACCAAGGGGTTCCAGATAACCCAGTCCACCTCCATTCGTATGTATCACTTCTGTGTAGACCCCGTCGTTGGGGGCAAACTTGTCCTCGTTATCCTCGAAAAGGGGTCCTGCTGGGTCCAGTCCTAGAAAAATTCAATTATAAATAACTAGTTAGCTGTTGCCGGGACTTCGTCCCGATTACCATTTACCCTCCCCTTCCCCAACCTCCCCAATTCCTGAATCCCCAACGATACTCAAACTCCCAATCCCCAAAAGGCCGGTAACGCACTTGTAACGCCTCTGGTGTTCCAGGTGTCCATGGGCGACGCCGATTGCTTACCATCAGATGATCCGTCAGCTCGTTTACCGGCTGAATTTGAATTCTATGTACATTTTATACGTAGAAATGACGTTTTAGCTCCCACTCCTAAACTTTAATTCGTTTTATCTAAATATTGTTTTATTATACGACAGAATAAAAAAATATATGTCTAATATTTTTTCATTACCTAACTTACGGACCAATTAGATTTTTAATTTTCATACTCTGTCATCATCCCAAATTGTGATTGGGCCTCCGGTAACTTCACTCACACGACGAAACACAACGCAAGCGTTGCTGCACGTCGGTTTTCTGCTCAGCCGTGGTATCACTCCGGCTCATTTGTACTGAAGCATGGCTCTCCCACATTTCACACTCAAAGCAGTTACACTCTAAAAACGTAAAGTCGTAAAGTATTTAAAAAATCTATGAAGAAATCACCTACCAGTAATATAAGCTACCATGCCTCCAAGGTTCCTACCGACCGCCCCAGCCTGGTGGCCGCCCAGGCTGTAGCCTACCACGTGGTACTGCGATAGATTGGCTCCTGTGATACTGTTCAGCCAGAGGATAAAGCGGGCTACTGATGCTCCTGGAAAAAACAGAAAAGTAACAGTTCGTTATATACTTACAATTCTAAGTTTATTTAGACACCATAATAGCATGCCTTTTATCCCCGAAGGGGTAGGTAGAGGTGCACATTATGGCACTTAATGCCACTGTTAAATGTAACACCCACTTTCCATTATTTATGTTATGAGTCCCATGTAATAGGGGGTGAGCCTATTGCCATATACCGGGCACAATTCCAGACTCCGTGCTACTACTGAGTATTTTTTAAAACACAGTAATACTTTGCCCGACCCGGGAATCGCACCCGAGATCCCTTGCCTGACAGTCACACTTGCGACCACTCGGCCAATGAGGCGTGAGGAAACCTGAACTTATAATTTGTAGTTATAAGTTTGAAATTACCAACCGGCATTGAGCAAGTGTAATGATTAGTGCTCAAACCTTCTCTGTGCGGGAAGAGGCCTTTGCTCAGCAGTGGACACTTATAGGCTGTTGATGTTATTGCATATAACATGTATTGAGGACATAGGCAAACTAGTTTTTTAAACTGTCAAACACTGCGAGAACACCGGTGACCGCAACCTATTGTTCTTTAATTGTGTCTATAATGACGGTACTCAAAGGGTTAAACTGTCCAACACTGCGAGGACACCGGTGACCGCAACCTATTCTTTAATTGTGTCTATAATGACGGTACTCAAAGGGTTAAACTATCAAACACTGCGAGGACACCGGTGACCGCAACCTATTGTTCTATAATTGTGTCTATAACGACTCAACGAGTTAAATCTCATCTTGAAGTTAATTTTGGTTAGATACGTTAAATGTTTACTACTTCTGAATAGCTTTTCTTACGGGGCGACCAGACTGGTCATCTGATGGTCCCATGGATAGCCACACCACTAAAGAGGCTAGGGCTTTCAGGATCGGGGGATTTTGATATGGAGGGGCAAAACCTCATTTGCAGGGCGAAACACAACGCAAGCGTTGTTCACGCCGGTTGCAACAACAAAACAACGGCTTTTCTGCGTGTAGAAATTAACATAGTCTTAGAAGGATCCTTACCTGATAGAATAGTATTCCTGACAGCTCTAATGAGATTCAATCCACTGTTTCCTGCGCTCCAATCTACCACGATTACGTTCATATCTTCCGCCGCTAAGAAGGCTGAAAAAGAAAAAAGAAAACTAAATGAAAGCTGAGGCTTTCGGATTTCAAAGGACCTAATGGTACTAATAAGGTCCTGTTTAAGTCATTCAGTCAAGTTTGATTTAATATTATTTATTTCAATTAGACCACGAACACAGTTTTGAACGTCAAAACAAAATATTAAAAAATAAATGTCAGTCTTTCTAACAGTCCTCTAGTCGCTCTGGTTGCTCGGTCCAAAATGTTGATTCCTATGTAGAAGAATGAGCAAGAAACATCATTGTTTATGGAATAGGGAGCAGACGAGCAGACGGATCACCTGATGATAAGTGATCAACGCCGCCCATGGACACCCGCAACATCAGAGGGCCTTTTGAAAAAGAATACGTTCTTTTCTTGAAGGTTCGTAAGTCATATCGGTTCGGATATACCGCCGACGACAGATCGTTCCACAGTTTTGCTGTGCGAGGCAGGAAGCTACGAGAGAAACGCACCATTTTGGCCTACCAACCATCTTTAATACACGACAACACATCCACCCCCATCATATAGATTCTATGTGAGGGTCGATGGAGATAAGATGCGGCAGGTATCAGATCAAACAATTCCTCAGAGCACTCCCCGTGCCATAAGCGATAAAAATGCACAACGAAGCTATATCTCTACGCATAAGTTACTCTTTTTCAATCAGGTTAAATGCTGATGGCTAGATGGGCATTCTTATTACCACTTCCGTATTTGCTGTGGGTTTTGTAAATGTTGACTACAGGACTCCATACTTCACATCACCACATCAACAGCCAATAAGTGCCAACTGCTAACTAAAAGCCTCGTCTCGAATGGCGAAGGTTTGAGCGTTAATCACCACACTTCCTCAATGCGGGTTGGCGATTTCCTCACGATGTTTTCCTTCACCGTTTGTCAGTGGTGTCTAGATAATCTTAGAAAGTACATGTAACTCGGAAAAAGTTACATTGGTACAATGAGACGAACGAGCGCCCTCATGCATGAGGAGCGGGCGTCTTAAGCCTCTGGACATCCACGACTTTTAACTTAGGGAAGGCCATTGTTCAGCAGTGGGCATCTTATGGCTGTTGATGGTAACGATGATAATTTGGTCCAGAACTCACCAGCTAAAACAACAGCGTTGAACTGTCCACGTGCATCATCACCCCAGCCGTGGATGAGGATAGCTGTTTTAAGCGAAGGATCGTAGTTCGATGACGTCACGAGGTCTTGAAGACCATGGACTAACGGCTGGCTTATTGTAGGGTTCTTTCTGTAAGTAAATTCTGCGATTAGAGAGAAAATGTAAGTAGTTTTGTTTCATGGTATAAGCCGGTAAACGTGCAGATGGATCACCTGATGGTAAGCAATCGGCGTCGCCCATGGACAACCTGAACACCAGAGGCTTTATAAGTGCGTTACCAGCCTTTTGGGGATTAGGGATTTGAGGAATGTTAAAGATTAAGGGATTGGAGAGATTGGGGAAGGGGGTGTGGTAATTGGGTCTCCGGTAACCTCATTCACACGACAACACGATAAGTGTGGGAGAGCCATGCTTCAGCACGAATGGGCCGGCTCGACCGGAGTGATACCACGGCTTCACAGAAAGCCGATGTGAAGCACCGGAGGCCCAATTACCCTCCCCTTCCCCAATCTCCCCAATCCCTGAATCCCCAACGATCCTCAAACTCCTAATCCCCAAAAGGCCACGCAACGCATGGGCGACGCCGATTGCTTACCATCAAGTGATCCGTCTGCTCTTCATACGCCATAAAAAAGACAAGGTGAAGGTGGTTTCCTCGCGATGTTTTTCTTCACCGTTTGTCAGTGCTGTCTAAATAATCTTAGAAAGTACATATAACTCGGAAAAAGTCACATTGGTACTTGCCGTTGGTAGGTTTCGAGCCCGCACCCTCGTGTATGAAAAGCATCTAACATCTTAACATTCGGGCCACATCGACACGTAACGAAATACAAATATATAATATGGGGTATGTTTTCTCCAATTTGTATCTAAATTCACCTCGTAAAAAGATGGTATTGATTCTGTGTGTCAGGGTTGTATCTGGCAGAACCTTCGATGTCTGGCGCCCACAGGTCTACCAGGTGTAGTCTGCCCACGTCATCCTGTATATGCTGATACCGAAGACTGGAACGTGGTATGAAGATACCGTTGGGAAGAGCTGTAAAAAATTTGTTATTAGTTAATGAGTAGTATACATTTTTAAAATCACTCCTACTCTTCCTGCGGGTGTCGTATACCCGACTAAGGAACTATACATTAGACAGAGACCGTGCACCAGCACACTCTGATAAACATGATCCTTATATACTGCATTATTTTTTCTTTCCTTCTTTCTTTGGCCTCGTTGGCCGAGTGGTCGCAAGTACGACTGTCGGGCAAGGGGTCTCGGTTTCGATTCCCGGGTCGGGCAAAGTACTGAGTTTTTATAATTTTTATAATTCTCAGTAGTAGCACGGAGTCTGGAATTTTGCCCAGTATATGGCAATAGGCTCACCCCCTATAACATGGGACCCATAACATAAATAGTGAAATGTGGGTGTTACATTGTACAGTGGCATAATGTAGACCTCTGCCTACCCCTTCGGGGATAAAAGGCGTGATGTTATGTTATGTTATGTGTCCTTCTTTCTTTCTTTCCTTTTTTCTTTCTTTCATTCATTCATTCATTCTTTTTTTAGATACAAGTGCGTTATCGGTCTTTTGGAGGTTATGGATTTGTGGGTAGGTGAGGAGAATTGGGTCTACAGTAACCTCACTTATACGGCGCTACACAACACAAACGTTATTTCACGCCTGTTTACTGTGATGCCATGGTATCACTCCGGTCGAGCCGATACAACGATTTTTTAAGGAGTGGGAGGCAAACAAGCCGACGAATCACCTGATGGTTAGCGATCCGGGTTAGAGTGTAGCCTTAGGGGCGCTATGGCGCGAGTACTTAGAAAATTTTTCATCAAAACTGAGAAATGGGGAAGTGTGTAAAAACACTTTTTAGGCACCCCGACACATTTGGTTAGGTTAGGTTAGAACTGTGACCCTCACAAGGCGCGAGGCGAGCGAGCGTAGCGAGCGGTGCCGCGCCAACTGACCTTTAGAGCTCATTTATAGGCGAACCTGAAGTCTTAGACAAAAGGTGTCCAAATGATTTTCGCTTTATTATTAGGTATACTAATCGATGAAAATGAAAAACTAACCATTTATAAGAATTTTTATTTTTAATGAAAATTTTTCTTAGTCGTGAACTCCTTGCCCCTAAGACGACCCACTGACCGCGATCCGCACCGCGCATGGTCACCCGCAACATCAGAGGAGTCAAAGGCGCGTTGACGGACTTCGAAAAGGAATACGCTCTTTTCTTGAAGGTTTTAAGGCCTTTTTAGGTCGTCCGAAAATACCGGCGACGACAGATCATTCCATAGTTTTGAATCGAGGCAGAAAGTTACGAGAGCAGCGCACAGTTGTGGCCTGCCTACCATCTATATGATGGGGATGGATGGTCTTTTCTTAGAAGTTTGAAGGTCGTATCGGTTCGAAAATAACGCCGATGACAGCGATGCCGTGCCATGCCATGCATACATGGCGAACTCGCGTGGTACTATTATTTTGTTTTTCATCATTTGGATTTTTTTATCTTTTTAATCATTTATGACGAAATGTTTATATCAAAACGAAACGAATCTTGATACACTTTCTTTGGGTTTTTTCGAAATGATTATAGACATTATAAAGATTATTACTTATCATATATTGACAATTGTATAAAATTATATAATTTTTTATAAGTATACTTAGATATTATGACGATTTCATTGATAAATTCAGTACGACGAGACAACATATTGATAATTTCAAGGTCTGTATTAACATAACATAACATAACATCACGCCTTTTACCCCCGAAGGGGTAGGCAGAGGTGCACATTATGCCACTGTACAGTGTAACACCCACTTTTCACTATTTATGTTATGAGTCCCATGTAATAGGGGGTGAGCTTATTGCCATACCGGGCACAATTCCAGACTTCGTGCTACTACTGAGATTTTTTTTAAAACCCTGTAATACTTTGCCCGACCCGGGAATCGAACCCGAGACCCCTTGCCCGGCAGTCGCACTTACGACCACTCAGCCAACGAGTCAGTCTGTATTACTAAATGTGTAATTACAATACCATGCAATTTAAGCGGGGCGTACTCTTGAATCCGATTTCGACCGATCGACATTGGTATTGTGAAATTTCGTACTCTTGAGTTGTAACACTAGCGCCCATTGCATCCGTATTGTGTGGATATAGAATGAACTAAATGATATTGAGTTTGGTTTTATATTCCGTACTCTGAATGCTATTGTAACAGCTACGATTGTGGTTGTATAGTGTTGACATTGAATAATTATTGAGATTTTATTGGATTTAAGTGTGGGAGAGCCATGCTTCGGCACGAATGGGCCGGCTCGACCGGAGTGATACCACGGCCGAGTAGAAAACCGACGTGAAGCAACGCTTGCGTTGTCTTTCGTCGTGTGGGTGAGGTTACCGGAGGCCCAATTACCCTCCCCTTCTCCAATCTCCCCAATCCCTGAATCCGCAACGATCCTCAAACTCTTAATCCCCAAAAGGCCGGTAACGCACTTGTAACGCCTCTGGTGTTCCAGGTGTCCATGGGCGACGTCGATTGCTTACCATCAGGTGATCCGTCTGCTCGTTTACCGGCTTACGCCATAAAAAAAATTGAAATTGAATTGACATTGGGATTTGTTTCAAGAGTAAGGACCCTGGAGACCAAATTGCCTTTGTCCAACAAAGGAAATTTTCTACGTGGTATAACGTAGTTTAATCCCCCAGCTTGAAGACCAACCTGGCAAGTATGGTGATTATGGTAAAACCTTCTATTTAAACAATTAAAAAAAAAGAAAGAGGTTCTCAGTTTGATTCTGTATGTATGTTTGTTTGTGCACAATTATCTCGTGATTGGCTGAACCGATTTTGATACGATTTTCAGAAAAGTGTTTCTTACACTTGGGAGAAGGTTTTAATTCACTGTCATTAAAAAAAGAAAAGGTTCACGTCGGTTTTTTTTAGACGTAGTTTATGCAATAATTATTATTAGATGAACTATTTATAAACCTAACTCGAGACGGCGCGTCGCGTGCCGCGCGTGCCTCAATGAGCCATCAGACCACCACAGATGGGGCCCAATAGGGCTGATGCCGATATAGATCCGCGAATGACTTAACGGGTTGCAAGGGCTCCGGTTCGAAGTGCAGGAGTAGGAACGTGGTGGTTTTTAGTCAGTAAGAGTCTGACACTCACCTCACCTCTCACCCAGGCGGGAAATATCATTCGATGATTTTCCCCTTTAAAAAAAACCCGAGACTTCAGAAGAAAAAAATCATAGGAAACATAGTAGGTAACATATTTACCAAAGTATAATGTGTAAACTGAATTAAAATGTATATTTTGTAATATACATTTTTTTATGGAATAAGACGGATCCCCTGATGGTCGAATGGAAGCAAGCGGCGTCGCCATGGACACCTTGAACACTAGAGGCGTTACAAGTGCGTTACTGGCCTTTTGGGATTTGGAATTTGAGGATTGTCGGGGACTCAAGGATTGGGAAAGGGGAGAGGGGTAATTAGACCTCCGGAGGGGTAATACTTAATTCTAGTAGAGCTTTTCTCAGTATATTCACGTGAGTAACCCGCGATTTTTAGTTCATTTAATATGTTACAGTTTGTTTCTCCTTAACGAATAAATAAATAATAGAATGTAACTAATGCTGCCTCGTTGGCCGAGTGGTCGCAAGTGTGACTGCTGGGCAAGGGCTCTCTGGTTCTGTTCCCAGGCATGTATTACTTAAGAATCACTCTATTTATTAAAAAAAACCGCATCAAAATCCGTTGCGTAGTTTTAAAGATCTAAGCATATATAGGGACAGACAGACGGGGGATAGCGACTTTGTTTTATACTATACTAGCGAACCGCCCCAGCTTCGCACGGGTGCAATATGCACATTGCATGTATTATACATATAAACCTTCCTTAAGAATCACTCTATATATTGAAAAATCCGCATCAAAATCCGTTGCGTAGTTTTAAAGATGTAAGCATACATAGGGACAGACAGACGGGGGATAGCGACTTTGTTTTATACTGTGTAGTGATGGTAGATGTATAGATTTTCGCCTGACACAACATATTATAAAAGTAATTTTCTGCTTTAGCTCTGTGTATAATATTCAAAAACAGTTTATAATATGTTTGCCACATATTTTCTTACAGAGATTCAGTCAGTTGAACAAATAGAAAAATGTGTTTATACAACTTTATGTAACCAGCTGGTCGAGTGGGCCATCGACTGTCGACCACAAGGTCATGAGTTCGACTTCGTAGTTTAGCAAATTCAAAAATATTGTCGTATGTTTTCGCATTTTGATTTTGTGTGAGGCCTGAAAAAATTGTAATCGTATGTTAATAAATAACATCGTTATATCATTATTATCATCATAAGATCACGCCTTTTATCACCGAAGGGGTAGGCAGAGGTGTATATCATGCCACTGTACAATATAACACCCACTTTTCACTATTTATGCTACGAGTCCCATGTAATAGGGGGTGAGCTTATTGCCATATACCGAGCATAATTCCAGACTCCGTGCTACTGCGAGAATTTAAAAAAAATCCATTAATACTTTGACCGACCCGATAATCGATCCCGAGACCACTGGGCCAACGAGGCACTAACATCATCAACAGCCTATTAATGCCCACTGCTGACCACAGACCTCGTCTCACAAGGAGTAGGGTTGAGAATTAATCACCACGCTTCCTCAATGCGGGTTGACAATTTCAAACTTAGAATTAGAAATTATAAGTCCAGGTTTCCTAACGATGTTTTCCTTCACCGTTTGTCAGTGGTGTCTAGATAATCTTAGAAAGTACATGTAACTCGGAAAAAGTTACATTGGTACTTGCCGTTGGTAGGTTTCGGACTGTTCTAACCCTAATAATAATACTTATTATACCAATGCCCTGCATTCTTGCCGTATTATCAAACTGCCTGTATATTAGAACTGCATTGATTTACGTTAATCGCAAAATTCTACATCAGCAAATATATAATCATTATTTTCCCAAATTCAGTGCAGATTTAGTCTAGACTCCGGTGCTGATATATTTGTGAACTTCGGATCTAGTCCATTTTGTTCAGTGGGAGAATGCCCTGCGTGGGCTGAGCACCGCCGTGCCCTCAGGGAAGTGATCGGCGATGGCGACCTCTCGCGTCCGGGCCTAGTGCAGGCCATGATGCGGAGCGAGGGGGATTGGGATGCCGTCTCCTCCTTTTGCGAAGCAGTCATGCTAGCTAAGGAGGAGGCGGGACGCGTGAGGCAGCGAAGCGCTGCCTCCTCGCAACCCAGCCATCGCGAAGGACACACCGGGCGTCGGGGATCGCGGGACGATCTCCGGCCACCGTAAGCGCGGGCCTGCGGACGGCGAGCATGGGTGGCTCCCCGTCCGACCAGAAACAGACCCGAGCGTACGGCGCGTCGCGTTCCGCGCGCGCCTCAAAGAGCCATCAGACCACCACAGATGGGGCCCAATAGGGCCGATGCCGATTCGGAGTCGCGGAGAACCTAACGGGTAACCGGGGCTCCGGCTCGACGTGCAGGAGAAGGAACGGGGTGGTTTTTAGTCAGTAAGAGTCTGACACTCCCTCCCGCCTCACCCAGGCGGGAGCAGTCATTCGATGATTTTCCCCCCATAAAAAAAAAGTCCATATTGTTAGTTTTTAGCCCAAATTCCTGATCAAGACCGGGTCGACATAGCCTTTCACTAGGGCAACCGCGCGACTGTGAGTGTAGTCTAGGACGTTAAAGTGTGTACCTTATAATAGGGATGATGACGGGGATTGCCTGCCTCGTTGGCCGAGTGGTCGTAAGTGCGACTGCCGGGCAAGAGGTCTCGGGTTCTATTCCCGGGTCGGGCAAAGTATTACTGGGTTTTTAAATATTCTCAGTAGTAGCACGGAGTCTGGAATTGTACCCGGTATATGGCAATAGACTCACCCCATATTACATGGGACTCATAACATAAATAGTGAAAAGTGGGTGTTACATTGTACAGTGGTATAATGTGCACCTCCGCCTACCCCTTCGGGGATAAAAAGCGTGATGTTATGTTATGTAACGGAGTATGAAAAAAAATCTAATTAGTCCGTAAGTTAGATAATGAAAAAATTTTAGACACGTATTTTTTTATTTTGTCATATAATAAAACAATACTTAGTTAAAACGTCAGTTCTACGTATAAAATGTACATAGAAGTGACGTCACACCGCATTTCAAATCAATATATCGTCCAAAGTATTCATTTCTGTAAGAAAATAAAAAATACATGTCTAATGATTTAAAATAATCTACCAGACGGATATTAAAATTAAAATTAGGCATCTAATCTACCCTATTATATTTTTTTATAAAAATTAACCTTTGCGGCTCAAACGTGGTTTTTCTCTTCTAAGTTATTTTTTTTACTTTTCAAGGCTAACAAATCTAACACTTGCACACTGACCCGTACTGTGACTAACACGATTACTGACTTTGTTCTCAAGACCATAAGAAGTAAATTTCAAAAGCCTACCTATTTGCATAAACCTTGTTGAAGAACAATTTTACATGCGTTAAAGATATTTTTGTCACGCTTTTTATAGGCTTATTATCATTTTCCCTTTTCAATATGGAGGTAGTCTATCTAGAGCACCTGTGCGAATAGCACCTGGACGAAAAGCACCTAGCCGAGTCCACGAAGGCTACCTATCAATTTATTTTCGTGGACTGAAATTTGTTTGTATGTATTTATCCACGAAAGGCACGTACGACTCAGAACCGTGGTGCTGGGATATACACACTCATATTTGGTAAACAGAATTTAGGACAAGCCCGCCACAACCTCCCAAAACCGCTGCAACTCCTGTGCACCAGGATCTATAGTAGATACAACCATGAAAACACCGGAACACTGAACTCCTACGTCCCAGAGACATGAATAACTGTTTTGGTTCGAGCAACGAAGTGAATCAGAAGATATTACAAGAGGAGAAGAAAAAAAACTATAGTTTCCACTTCCCTCGGTGAATTACTGCAGGAGACGGAATGAATTAAGCCTAAAGGCACAAAAAAGAGACTGTACAACTGGGTGAAGCCCAGTCGCCAAGCACCACGGAAAGACTAAAAACTAAGTGGGTTTTATGTATAAGCTGTTATAATTGTTTCCAATAATAGGTATGGGAAAAGCGCCTAAACGCACGGAATTTGTTCTAGATTCCACTAGGTACCGTGGTACCATACCATCAGGTGATCCGTCTGCTCGTTTACCGGCTTATGCCATAAAAAAGACTACTTACCCACAACGACTGTAGCTGCCACAATTACAATAACTAATTGAGTCAGAGCGACCATCGTTACAAAATATTATAATGAAGTACTCAATGAAATTATATCAATTCATACCTTTTATATAGAGACTTATCTTTAACACTAGAAGTCTAATAATCTATAGGATTTACCCTGGAGATAATTTGAAGAAATTACGAACTATCAAGTTAACCTTTTCCCCGCGACTTTGTTCGTGCGAATAAATAATATTTTTCGGAGTAATACCACGGCCTCACAGAAAACCGACGTGAAACAACGCTTGCATTATGTTTCGTCGTGTGAGTGAGGTTACCAGAGGTCCAATTACTCCCACTCCAATCTATCCAATCCCCGAATTCCCAACAATCCTAAAACTATGGGCTGTCTATGATCCGTCAGCTCGTTTGCCGACTACTTCCATAAAAGATATGAACCTCGGCCTATCTCTTCGCAGGTGTTGTGTTTTTTTTTAATATTTTATTTTCATTCCTAGCTTCAAATATAATGCGCAACGGCCACCCATCCTGTGCTTGACCTCAGATCGCCCGTAATTTATTATTCTATAGTTTTTGAGCATATTCTCTTCTCTGTGCAACGGCTTCATTATTTTACTATTTAAAGTCGTTTCAAATATTATTTGTATTGTTCTATAAATGTTTAAAACTATAAATAAATAATACTAAAAAACCATGAACTATGATATTTTACGTAACTTGCAAATTAAGACTAAAAATAGTTTTTCAATGTTACTGCATGCAAAATCCGAAACTTCGAGAAGAATCGGCATCAATATTCGAATTATTCGACTTTGGCTATTTTTGCTAACTTTCTTACATCCCATGGTCAACAAATTACGCATAAAGCTAATCGATTACTTTGTTCCCACGACCTCTGGCCGCCGACCATAGCACTGACTACGGCAGGCAGCGAGAGGTCGGCACCGACAACAGCCACCAGGCTCGCCCTCTCCGATGCCCACTGGGGGCACTCTGCCAGAGTGTGCTGCGCCGTTTCTTCGACGCAGCCACACTCGTGGCAGACCGCCGTCGGCTCCCTCCCGGCAATACGGCACAGGTATTGACCGAAACACCCATGTCCGGTCAGCACCTGCAAATTACTCCCACCCTGCCCCAATCTCCACAAATCCTGAATCCCCAAAAGGCCGGGTTTACGCACTTGTCACGCCGCTGGTGTTCCAGATGTCCATGGGTGACGCTGATTGCTTACCATCAGGTGATCGGTCTGCTCGTTTACCGGCTTATCCAAGATAAAAAAAACCTGGTTACTATAGACTTACACGCAGAATATACATACATTGATACGAAGGACATCTCGTCATTTTCTCAACTCTAGTATCGTGGTAACCCATTACATACGCACACAAATACGTCAATGACATTCTGATGCTTCAATCATGTCTAAGTGACGTTATGTCCGCCATTTTCATCGACATGCCATCGACGATGATGCGCTTGTGAAGGCTCGGCTTCAAAGCCTTTCAGGCATAAGGTTGCAAGCCTTTCGGTTTTCTACCGGATACATTTCGGTGAGTGTGCGGGGGAATTGCACAACTTGATTCCCCCTAGTCCTTTCCATCACCGTACCACAAGACAATCGGCGTAGCGTCACCGATTCATGGTAGATGTTCCGCATACACGCACGAAGCGCTTCGCTTCAAGCTTCCTTGTGCGTACTGCTAAAGAGTAGAATTCTTTGCCAGAGTCTGTGTTTCTTGAAGGGTATAACCTTGCAGTCTTCAAGGCCCGAGTGAATAGGTTGCTTATGGGACGACGTGCTCCATCGTAGACCGCATCATCGCTTACCACCAGGCGAGATAGTGGTCAAACGTCGCCCTATCAAATATATATATATAAAAATGTTCAACGTCCCACGAATGGCCATCATCAATTAGACAGACATACTTTTTGTTTTGTGTATAAGTTTAAGGATGCCAGTCTTCAATCAACTTATTATCACTGATGATAAAGACAAATAGCTTAACTACTTAACTAAAGTATTGTCTCATAAATAAATATTAATAAAGATTATCATTGCATATTAGTCACTGTTCCCATTCATCATCAGCTATCAACAGCTTATAAATGCCCACTATAGTACGAGAGATGACGACCAAAACCATGTCTCATAGCAATACGGCAAAAACCCTATAAAATCGTTAGATTGTATGATTCTGAACCCGACTAGGTGTGTAGTAACGGTCGAAAGTGTAGCAACTGCGTGGGAGACCATTTCTGCTGTGTCAAAAATATCTGAGTGTCGAAAAGTTGTCTGATAGAGAAGGTGCTACACTTATTTTGTCTGATATATATTTTTTGCACATGTGGACAACTTATTTTATCATGTCCAACAATTTTCAGACATATTGCCATGATACCGATCGGTAAAATTTGTTAACATTTTCAAAACGGTCTCAATATTTAATGCGTTCACATTTCCGTCTGAAAATTGTTTTGTTCGCATCAAATAACCAAAATTTACTAATAAAAAAGGTTTTCAGACGTATTGCTATGAGACATTTTTTTGTCTGGTGTTTTTGTGGTCAGATCAAACGCTACGCGGAAAATATCTGATATTGGTATTTTTGAGTTCAGGATAATCGTATCTATCGATTTGAGGCGGTTTTGGCCGTATTGCTCTCTAACTACACTGCTAACCAAAGGCCTCATCTAGCACGGAGACTATTTGAGCATTAATCACTACGTTTGCTCAATGATTGCGGATTGGCGATTTTAAAACTTATACTTAATTAGAAATTATAAGCCTGGGTTTCTCCACACGATGTTTTCGATGTGATGCGATACGTTTCTGACGTACCTAATGGGAACTTGGCCCACATAACATAACATCACGCCTTTTATCCCCGAAGGGGTAGGCAGAGGTGTACATTACTTATTTATTTATTTATTTTTAACAGTCACAACGGCATAAAAATCCAATTATAGTAACTGACATATTTTCAACAATAAAACATAAACAAAAGAAAAGTAAAACTTAGTTAAAACCACTGTACAATGTAACACCCACTTTTCACTATTTATGTTATGGGTCCCATGTAATAGGGGGTGAGCTAAAATATGCCAATTGCCATATTACATGTATTACAAGAGGGGAACTAGGCCCCTCTTGTAAAAAGCTCGGATAACAGGCAGTACCGTGTTTGGCAAAAGGGCACTCGGGGCCCGTGCGTAGGGCCCCTACCTTCAGGGGGCCCTGCGCACGATATATAAATTTGTATGTTTGTAGGTAAAATTGTACCCACGATACAGGAAAATATTCTAGTGTGGGGCAACGTCACAAAAAATAAAACCACTTTCTGAAAGGGAATTTATTGTATACCCGAGTGAAGTCTAAGACCGTCCTGCTTTTTTTAAGAGGGGAAAATCATCGAATGATTTCTCCCGCCTAGTTGAGGCGGGAGAGAGTGTCAGACTCTTACTGACTAAAAACCACCCCGTTCCTACTCCTCCACTTTGAGCCGGAGCCCCGGCAACCCGATAAGTCCACCGCGGCTCCGTATCGGCATCAGCCCTATTGGGCTCCATCCGTGGTGATCTGATGACTCTTTGGCCGGGCGGCGGGCCAACCATGCTCCACGTCCGCAGGCCCGCGCTTACGGTGGCCGGAGAGCCCAGCGATGTCTAAGACAATCCCGCTAATAGGCAATTAACTACGATCATAATCAGATGGTGGTCTATCAGCACTGCCCATGTGGATGGTGGGAGATAGGGCCTCCTGTCACCTCAATCACGATGGTCTCCTATGTAGCCGTAGTATCACTCCGGTCGAGCCGACCCAATCATGCCGAAGCATGGCTCTCCCACTTCTCAATCTAGAACTAGACAATTGGTAAGTACATCTTGCTCTCATCAACCTGAGATTTAACTTTTTGATAATTTTTCAAATCTTCAAAATGCCTATCGATTGTTTGTGCTGGTGAAGTCTGTGGACTGACGTAGTTCGGTATTTCAGCTTCTTGCATAACTATTTCTTTTTCGTTTTCCCTGTAATTCATACGTTCCGGGTTCTTTAAACTCTTGTAATATTTTCTCAAAAACTGTTTTGGGTTTTTCATTACGACATGTTCTATGTTGTTTGGGTGGTTCGGTTGCATGTGTTGTATGTAGGGTGAATGCTGAAAGGATAAGTAAATTGTCTAAGTGCACTGTAAAACTGCTTTAAAGTGTACGATTTTGATATGTTTTTAACATTGGATATATAAATACCTCCAGGGTTTTTTTTTAAGGAGGGAAAATCATCGAATGACTGCTCCCGTCTGGGTGAGGCGGGAGGGAGTGTCAGACTCTTACTGACTAAAAACCACCCCGTTCCTTCTCCTGCACGTCGAGCCGGAGCCCCGGTTACCCGTTAGGTTCTCCGCGACATATCTCCAGGGGTAACTATGAGCGGAAAAATCTGTAGCGTCTAATTTAAAACTAAACATTAATTAATTAGAAAAGACAGATGGTTTTTTTAAGATGGTACGTTGTTTAATGTCTCCTCCCGCCTTGTGTGAGGTGAGGGAGAGTGTCAGACTCTTACTGACTAAACACCACTTCGTTCCCACTCCTATTTTGTGTCGGGACTGCGCTTACTTATTGCGTTTTAGGCGCAACTTTAGCTGGGAAAATGATAATGGTTCCGAAAAACAAATTAATCTCCAGCGATCTGTGGCCGACTATAAAAATGGATCTTCGAATAACAAAACTAAACTTCCGAATAGAATATTGAACCTCCGACAAAATTACTAAGTTACAGACAACAGACGTTTTAGGTTAGGTTAGGTTATTCGATAGACCTGATCGAAGGCGCGCGCGCCCTTGAGGCGATGCACGTGGCTACACATTGCTACGGTGCAGTAGATGAGGCCCGGACGGACGGGCCGGCACTGTAATGCGGGGCTGCGGATGAATTTGGACTCCCGCAGCCCCGCGCGCACGTGCGAGGAGACATTGGGGTGGTTTTAGCCGGTAAGAGTCTGGCACACCCCTCCGCCTTTCCCCAGCGGAGGCAGTCCATGAGGATTTCCCCCCATTGAAAAAAAAAGAAG